CGAACGGCGGCCGTGGCCTGCCAGGCGGCCCGGGCAGGAGCCAGCGCAGCGGCGACGGGTGGTTCCCCACGGCAGGGGGGCTTAGCTGAGCCGGCTCTGACCTCCCCACCTGGCCCAGGCAGTGGGCTGAGAGCCACCTCTTCCCCTGCCATCCCCGTTGGGCAGTACCGCATGAGGCAGAGGCGGCAGAGCCCGAGGAGAGTCGGGGATTTCCCTTGTTGGCAGGCAGCACGGTGGCCTCTGCCGGGCAGGGCAGAAAGCAGTGCCAGGGTAGCGGCAGCTCCCGCCTGGCTCCGGCTCCTCTGCCCGGCCGCTCCGGTCCAGCAGTGCCCGCGGGTTTGGGGAAGATGGAAGGGACAGGTTGCACCCACCTTTTCTCTAACCCAGCTTCCAGTTTCAGGTACAGTCTGTGTTAAGGAGGAACTCCCTGCCACCCAAAACCAGGACGAGTTACTCTTCCCAGCTCTTAGATCGGTGCAAGCCCCACCCGTTTGCACAAGCAGCATTCATGGTAGGGCAATATTCAGTCTAAAAAACCTCCTCTTGAAAATGTGCAAAGGCAGTGGAAATGTGAGCTGTAAATGTTTTAAATACCAACAGAAAGACTCTTAAGCTAGCTATATGTGCTACCTGTAGGTTTGTTTGACCTACTACAGGTAGTATGTTTGAAAATACTACATATGCGCTTGAAAATTCAATAGTTGATCTGATTTACAACTTGTTTCATTGCAAATTGATATTTTTTGACGAAAATTTATATGTGCAGTTGTTTTATTTTGATCCTGTCATAGTAGGACCCATTTTATTGTTCTCAGCTTGTTTCCAGCCTGGGAAGTACTGCAAGCTTCCCATGACCCCATGGCCTAGCCACCTTTTCTACACAGGAGTCAACACAGGAGAAACATACTAGAAGATCCTGCAGCCCTGCTTCACTGTTGAATCTGAGGTTAAGAGTGGACCCCCTTACTTCCTAAACTCCCAGTGGGAGCCTTAGGCATGGCTAATTCAAATCTTTCACTCAGACATGGTCAACGACTCATACCTTAAAGGATAAAAAAGAATACCTAAAGCACTCAACAGGACGGTCTTCCTTACACATTTGTGTCTTCTAGACAAGCTCAATTCTAAACCAATTTTCTTTTGTCTATTTCATCCATATAGTAAATAATATAGTGAACCTTGCCATCAGACTTAAAGTTGTGCTTTTACAAATTCAAAATTTACAAATTTTGCTGATGTGTTTGATGGCAATGCTTTGAGCAACCTAAACCACCCATTCATTATACAGCTCTTCTGCAATTCCTCAGATAAGCAGAGCAGAGGTAGCAGTAACAATATTGAGAATTACATATCCTTGGTTTTCTCATGTTTGTGAAATCAAGTGATAGAGCTCATATGTCATGACTTATCTGCACCTCTACAACCTCTGTACAGATACAACAGTTTTTTCAAAAATAAGGCTTACAGTATTTTTTAGAAGTTGTAGGTTGCTGAGTAGCTGGTTTAGTGGGTCAACTGTGTTGAGTATACCTTTGTAATCAGAACAGATGAGGGCAGGATTTCTTTGGTGCTGTGTCAGCCAGTCGTATACAAATGCCATTTGTGAAAGGATTCAGTGGAAGCACATGATGTGATCCTGAGTACAGCCTGGCCTGTTGTGCTTACTGAAATGTCATCTATTTCATGATCCTTCCAGATCAGGGAATTGTTGTGCTGATGCCAGGGAAGGGAAAAAATCATTCACAGCAGTATCTGACCTCATACAGAGTGCATGCCTGGTTGCTAATCTGTACATGCTCAGGTGGAAAAACCACGGGAAGCTTAGGTTTTACTGCACCTGCACAGATCAATTCAACAGTACATGAACTGCCACCTCGAGCTTGCGGGGCGGGGAAAATGCATTTGCCACACACGGCTACACAGTTTATGCATCTGGCTATGTACAGGAAGAGGGCAGTCAGCAGAGGATGTCACTGTAGCATCGCATTATCAAAGCATCTCCAAGCTGCCCTCAAGGTACACTTGCTGTGATGTTACTTCTAATTGCTCTACATTGCCAGACTATGAAGGGTGAATAGAGGTCTTTGTATGTTCTCATGCACAGTATAGTTGAGCCTCCACTTCGATGTGTTTCTGAACCTGTGATCTTTTCAGTTTTCTGCATTGCATAGATGGTATTCTGTTTTATTCATCAGGAATAACATCCCCCACATAAAGTTTCTATTCCTTTCTGCTTTTCTCCATCTGTGATGTAACTGGTCCTTTTTTGAATGGTCCATTTATCTTTCTTCTTTGCAACAGAAGCAATTTTATGGTGCATATGTTTTAATTTTAAAAAAATTGAACAGCCAGCAGAGATTAATGCAGAATATATTTAAGCAATGGAGAATATTCTGTAAGTTTGTTTGACCTAGATGGTAGTAGTTTCCAGGTTAAAGTTGTTGACCTAAAATTTAGTTCCTGTATGTTTACGAAGAGAGTAGAACACAGGTGATTACAATGAGATGTTTACTGCTGGTTTTGTGAGGCAGATAGTGGAATATCATTTCTCATTCTATGATCAATATTGTGAAAAATAGATTGCTTGTCAATATGCTCAATAGCATAGTGTGTTTTGGTAAGGAGAAAAGAATAGATAAAAGCAAATAAAGAGTAAAAAGAAGTAGTCACTGGAAACTGGATAAAAAGCGTGACTGAAAGTTCAAATTTTCACTGTGAAAACAAGTAGCCATTAAAAAAAACAAACCATGAAAATGACAGGTAACTTTTTCTGATGTTTGCAATTTTAGACTGAGTGTTTACTCACAAGCTTTCTGGCCTCAGTACTGTGATAACGTCTTTGGTTTCCCAAGGTCAGAGTGGAAGACATCTGCCTTTAGCTGTTTATTATGTTCCTAATGGGATCCAGAAAAGACAGACCACATGAATTCAAGGATGTAAAGATAGTAATTTTTCTTTCTCCCTTGTAAGAAATGTATCTTTTCTCACAAGGAAAACATCATCTGTCTGGGAAGAAAGTGATTTGGCATAAATCTTTTGTGCCTTAGGTCAATTTTACACGTACACTTCTGCTGGACTCCATAAGCCGTTCAACACAGGAGCAGAAGCCTGTGGAAGAGTTCACTTTTCAAGCCACTACTAAAGAGAACAACTTTTCGTCCATGAAAATTTATCTCTTCAGTGTGCAACAACAGATCAAATGTTAAATTAGGCAAAGGCACTTTGCTGTGGCTGATTCAGGCCAATACCCATTTTTGCATTCCTTCATCTTACACATTCCAAATCTACTCATACACCTCTATGCTAAAGCAGAAACCTCAGATTTTATGAAGAGTGGCTCTCATGTCTAGAGGTGTTTTACATATTCTTTATATAGACTTTAACCTTGAGTATGCAGCCAAATCTGTTTATGTTAAGAATAAGTGAACATATCCTGTTTCTACAGTTAAATACAGACTGTGTTATTTGCATTCTTACTAAGCAGCAAAATGCGCTTTTTTAAAGGCACGTCTGCAAAAGTGAAAATATTTTTTCTTTCTGCTGTTTTCAGATGCTGAAATGGTGTTTAAAGTGGACTGCATGCTCCTGTAATTTCTCTCCTGAAACAACAAAAAAAAAATAAAAATTGGAAACTAATTAACCAAGGGAAAAAGAGAAAAACCAACTGCTAAATGCAGTGGAATGAAATTTGGGAAGAAATGTGTAGACTTTTTTTCCTTTCCTTAATGAAAGGAAAAGATACTAGGAAAAAGGAAAAAGATACTAGGGTTGGAAATGCAAATGTCACTGAATCTGGGATTAGTATTGTGTTAGGGCTGAACTGGTAAGTAAAATGGAGCTGATATCTGAAATAGTGACAGCATAGTTTCACAGATAAGCTCCTGGGTATTTAGTTGGAGAGAAGCAGCAGATGTTAGCTGTACAACTGGTTAGGGATTTCCCGATAAGCTACTTATGTCCATGAGAAAATGATAACAATTCAAGATCTAAATGGTTGTTGTGAATACAGTAAATCTCCCATATTTTTTGTCTGTTGTTTTGGTTCTGTTGTTTTTCTAAAAAAGAATGTTTCCAATTCTTGAAAATGCTTCATCATTTCTAAGTGGAAAGGAGTCTTATCTTCCATGACTTTCTACTAAATGTTGTAGGTAATGGAAACTCATTTGAAAACAGTGGGGAACATTTAAAAACAGTAAGCTTAATAATTTAAAATTCTAGTTTAAAAATTTAATACAACTTAATGGAGTATTTTTTACAAATGGATCACAAAAATCTCTGATTTTTTCTCTTTTCATAGCTTGGAAATGGAAGTTAAACTCTGCCCAGTGATAGACTTCCATAGTCAGCAGTTTTGCCAGCCTGAACCAAACTGATCATGAAAATAAAAGGTAGATAACATAAAATGGAATCTGAAATATTGCAGGATAAAGCATTTTTATGCCAAATATCTGCATACTTTGGTTTTTTTTGAGCAAGAAGTGCTTCTTTGAGAGGGAAAAGGTTTCTTTGGTTTTCTTTATTCTCTGTGCACCAAACTGACCTCACAATACTTGAAAAATTCTGTCATAGGGCAGGCTCTGTTTATCCCAAAGTATGTATTGAGGATGTTTGTTGTGGCTTGATGATAGAATAACTGATGCATTCAGATAAGCATGAGTATCTTGGCATTGTTTGTGCATATTTGTACATATTGTCCTCACTGGCTCTCTGGCTCTTAGGAGCACACTATGCCTGGAACATTGCTGCTTGAAGCTGCTGAGGCACTCTTCCCATTCTGGGGATGCTGAAGTGAAGTAGTTACTGTGCCTAAAGACACAGCTCAATCTTAATTCAGTAATTTCTTAATGGTACTTCTTGGGTGACTTCTGAACAGAGTATTTTCTTGAAATTAGATTGATAATCCCATTAGTAAAAGATGTATGCTATTGAAAATCAATTATACAGTATTTTAGTTATTTTATATTATTATAACAAATTTCTTGTAGTACAATTCTCTAATTATTACATAAGAACATAGCCGATTAACAAACTTTGTTCTTTTATGTATCAAGAGGGTATTGTAGCTTTACTCAACACTAATATTTTTGTGGCTGTTGTCCAGGTCTCCTTGTCATTATCACTCAAGTTCTTCATCAGTACAAAAAGGACCTTCATCAGATCCTGGGAATGAAAATACTGCCACTGCAGAATCAGATGTGTGCATATTTTGATATTGATGTATATTTGATATTCAGGTATTGAGGCACGCTTTTGACCAGTAGGAATAGGTGTCATTGTCATAGTATTTCTGTGAGTGGGTACAGCCTGAAGAAAGGGTCTGTTGACTATCCATCAACAGCTGCGTCCAGAGCTTATGGAGCCAAAGAGAACAAGCAGAGTGGCCAAGAGAAAGGATAACAGAGTCTTAATTGTGAGCTAAGCAATGTTTGATAGTACACAAAGAACATAGGTTTGCAAGCAGTTTTAAAGTTGAGCTAGAAATTTATCTAACCGCTAGATATGTCTGAAATTATTACTGAATTTCTGCTCTGATATTTAAAAATATGCTAGCTGAGCTTGCAAGATTGATTGGTCTCTCTATGACTAGTTTTAGCATGTTTTTTATGTGGTTTGATATTTTTATTTTATATTTATATATTTGCAACAATTTTTTTTTTTTTTTGTCCAATATAATTTGAATTAACGAAATTGTGGTTAACCTAAATTATATAATGATTTTTGCATGAATAATAAGACCATACACAGGTCCAGGTAAAACAGGTGGGATTCTTGAGACAAAGATATGAGATAATTGATAAGCACTGCTTCTGTGTTCTTAAGTGCAAGTTTCCTCACTTGTGATGATTTAATGAGTTAAGAGAGACTGTGTTTAGAAACAGAGAATCAATAGATTTCTTACCTAAATTATCATTGATCTTTTAATATTTATTGATGTTGGTTACTGCTGCTGCCTTGGTTTCGCTGCGTGACACTGAAAAGCCAGAGCTAAGAATAGCATTATGTGGCAACCTAGTATTTTACATAGGAGGAGAGAGGATGAAGAATGGAATGGTGCAAGAGATCACAGGGAAACTGGAGAAGAGAGGAAGATAAAAATGGAAAGAGAGAAGATTCACAGAAAAAAAAAAATTATTGCAAGAAGTACTACAGTTGTACATCATAGTTTCTTACTTGAAAACGTTCAGATTTAAAAATTTGATCCTAGCGGTTGAGCAGAGTCTGTTTTACCATAACTAAAACTTTATTTTCCTTTCATTTACAGTCACTGCCTTGCTGTGTTAACTTTATGTTATTGTAGCTTTTCAGTTTGGGATTCAAATTAAAAAATATTCCATTTCATTTTAATATTCAGCTCATGAAAGACTGGTAAACACACTACGTACTGTACGAATGCTAAAAGTTGTTCCTTACAAGTCTTGTAAATAATGAAAGTTCACTCTTACGCCAATTACATCACATGTTTATTTAGGATAACCTCATAGAACTAAATACACTCAGAAAACAAAAACTCTGTTCTTGTATCTTACTCCAACATAAAAAAAATGAAATGTAAAAAAGACTTAGTGGGTGAACTTCTTCAAGTAATAAAAGGCCCTTTTATTTAAACCATAATTTAGGCTTAATCACAGGGAGAAAAAAGTGTGTCTTTTCTCTGCCATAATAGACAAACGTCTCAACATGAAGCTCTACACAATGCTGCAGCATTGTCACCCTGGGTTAAATAAACAAGGCAATCATAAGATAGAGTAGAAAGACATTTCAAACAGATTTCTAACTGTGTTTGATTATACTTAAATTTAATGGATCTTGACACGATGAAGCATGTGAAGAGAGTCTTAAAAGTAACTTGATTAGAAGCTTAGAAGTATAGATAGACAAACAAAAAAATCAAAAAATACATAATTAATCTGATTTTGATCATGGTTTATATTATCCAGAATAAAGGATTTTTTAAGGAAAAAAAAATTATATTTAAAAAAAAAAACTGCATGTGGAAATCAAATACAGAAATAAGTAACATTTTTTCATATTTTCCCTTTGAGTTTCACAAAGAAAGTGGACAAATTTGTATGGATATCTTCCAAACATGAGTTCTATATGTTCATCCTATGCCACGTGAATACACCTCTGTTTCTGAAGCATATTTTTACAGCAGCTCTACAAAGCAGAGCGAAACTAGTGTTTCCATATGGAGTGCTGTGGAATGAAGGGTAAACACTAATGATACTTTGTGAAAACAAAGGTATGCAGTCTTGATTTAAACATAGTATACATTTAAGAGTTACACTTTTGCAGCTAGCCAGCTGAGACGTAAATTAATTTATTTAAAGCTAAATCTCATACCAGTGCTCTGTGCTTTACAGCTGAGAAAATTTCTCATAAATTATGGACCCCACTGTTCTGTAATAGAGCAGGGAATTGAATTTAGGTATGACCAGTATCAAATTAACTCAATAACCACTTGCCCCCTGCCTAGAAAGAGAGGAAATGCCCTCCTCTGAGGAGGAGATTGGGCATGTACGTGTGTGTGTTGGGGCAAAACTTCAGCTGCTGTTTTCCATTCAGACTTGAGCGCACAGCATTGCAGAGATCTCTTCATAAATCTCTGCATACACATGTTACAAGTCAGAGCTTTATAATAAACCTGATTTGAGAAATTTGATGAAATAATAGTTTTACATAATTCTGTATCTTCCTTCTTTAAGACACTGAGATGTGAAAGTCCTCCCAGATGTAGCAAAGTACAGGCATTTGTCTAAAGCTTGGTTCATTAGGATTCTAGGTGGTCCTGTTTGGCTGGTCCATATTAATTGCAGCAATGACATTTGGGGTCAGGGGATCACAAAATGACCAGTCTGTATTGCTTTGACCTGATCTCAGGTGGTGTGGTGTAGGAAATAGTTAATTATATTTTTTCAGTGACTCACATCTTTAATATAAGGGTGATTGATCTTTGTGCACTGTAGACCCTTGCAGCTGTTTCTCATCATAAGATTCCCCCTTCGTATTCACCACAACACTTAAACACATTCAGTTGCGTTTATAAATTATGTGAAGCCTCCACCAGCAGCATGGTGTCTCAAAGTAAGCAAATATAAAGCATACAGGTACAAAGCTCTGCGGGAAACTGTAGGGACCTCGAAGGAAAAAGAAAGAAGCAAATTATCAGAAAACTTCTTTTTCTCATTTCAATCAACCCAAATTCCCCCTCCTCATGGGTTTAAATTATAGAATATATTACCTTTTTGGGCATTTTGCAATAGACAACTCATACAAACCAGGAACTGAAAACATCAGCTATTAATATAAAGATTTGAAGTACATTTAGTATATAGCACCTCGTTAAATTGAGTCAGTAGTTGGTAGATTACAGTGGTGCTTTCCAGTGAAAAATTATCTGTTTTTCCAAAAGCCAAAATAATTCAGTGTGGAATGCTATATATATTATATGCATTACAAATATTTATGTTAATTCAAGAGGATATAAAAAGTGTAGGGAAGCTGGGAACTTGAATGTTATGTTTCTCACAGCACCTGTCACTTCACTGTAGCCAGCAGCATATCCTTGCAGCATTGATCTAATAAAATTCAATGCCTCTGCAAAGGGGCACAATGCCAATGGCTGTGAGAACCTCAATTTTATATTTCCTGAGTCTGACATATTTAAATTTTCATCTATAACACTAGATTAAATTAAATCTATGTTGAATATATGGTAAGAAACTGGATTAAGCTCTGAATTCTCTAGTTAACACTCACAAAGTGCTTCTTGTAATGATATCACTTGGATTATTTATCCTGTACACTGTTCATGAAGATAGATGTTCAACTTTTCCGCCAGAACTCTTTGTCAAAAGTTTATTCTGCCTGGGATAAAGTTCAGCTGTTGTCACAGAAGTGTTTCATTGCAAAGGCCTGAGACCACTTCCCTTATTCCTTTCAGGAACACAATAACAAATGTTTGGAGGGATAGGAATCACATGATGTTCACAACCATTATCCAACAGATTGTTATTTGCAGAGGAGAGACAGGGTTTTATTACCATTTTGAAAATGTAGTTTCAAAGTTTTAGGGTCTATAGAATTATATTTTCTTTTTAAGTCTCACTACATTGAAAACTCTACATGAATATTAGACAGGGATTTAAAAAATATTTCTTAAATTTATTTTAAACTTTAAATAAATTTTCATTGATATGCATACCCGTTCTGTTCTTTTTCCACAGGACTATGTATTTTTAATGACAAAAATATTCACAGACGATCAATAACAATCATAGTCATATGTGCATGTAATATAATTTACAATAAATTCATCCAGTTAGGGTTTAGCTTAGGTATCACACTTAAGCAAGAAGTATGGATAACAAATTTTAAAGTCTATTCATGATAAACAGATGTTTAAGAAGTAGTTTAAAAAGAACCATTAGGTGATCTTGGCTAAAGAATAGATTTGACTTAACTGTAGTCTGCTTAAAGACATTGTCCACAGACAAAAATCTTACTGCAAAGGAAAAAAAAACAATTTTTAACTTCTTTGAGATCTTGTAAATTTTCTACACTGGAAAACTGTAGCTTTTATACCAACGTGATTCTTCTCATATGAGATTCTGGTGTTTATGTATATAGTACACTTTCGATGCTAAAGATTTCAAAAGTTCTAAGCATTCTTTCTGCTTCAACTGGATGCCTTGACTCTTCTAATTCAAATATACATATTGCAAAGAACAGCCTACTCAGGGTAGCATTTGTCTGGCAGTTTGTTCTATAAATTCACTGATTCACTTCCAGTGAATTAAACTGTAGATATACAGTATAAAATTAAGAACCACCATATATTTTGATCAAAAGATATGGGTTGCTTTGCATCAAAAACCTCCATAGTACTGGTATTGTTCTGCCTTGGGGGAAATGTTGGTTAGAAATAAGAGATTATAATGAAAGAATACCAATCATCTGTTTTGCAACACTCACTCATATAACTTTTACATGAAGTTCTTAACTAAATATTTAATTATTTTTGACCATGCCCTGACCAAAACAGAAGGTACAATTTGTGATCTGTCCCAGTTCTCAAGCATAATTAAAAAAACAGCATTGAAACATGTGGACTGAAAAATTATTGTAATAGAAATATTCAACTATGTCACATTTCAGCCAGTGACACTTGAGACTCTATAATAGACACTGAAAAATTTGTTAGCATGGCTCACAGCAAGAATTGCCTTAATGCAATGGCAGCTGGATATAGTTATCCTGGAAAATTTGAAGATTTAATTAGTTACAGTGAGGTGAAGGCAAAATAATAGGTTAGTTTATGTGCAAAACCTGCAGATTCTAGGTTTATGTCAGAGTACTATGACCTACAAACAATTAACTGCACTTTAATGTAAGAAGTAGTTTCACTGACTTTAGTTTTCAAGCAGTTAAATCAAAATTAAGACTATTATTTTCTCTTATATTTGCTCCAAGCCTTTATAACACGATCACTTCCCTAAGTTAGAGGAGTGTTACTCAGTACTGAAGAGACTGTTAAGCCAACATCTGTTTCACAGCAAAATCCATGATGATGTGGTGATTAAGGGAGATAGGCTTTGTATTCTC